TTGGGCATCAGGAGCATAACTGTCAACCGTCCCTTATTTGGCGGGAAACTCCCTTATCCCAGCGCTGTGTCCCGCTGCTGTCCCTTACTGATGATGTCCCTTAAATTTCCCAGGTTTCATGCTTGCCCAGCTCGGGAAGGAAGCAGCGGCTCGGGGTCGACTCGCAGAGTGGTCCAAGCTTTGGCTAAGGGAGTTCCTTTTGACATTGTCTGCTTTCCATTCCTCACTTTTATTACTGACAATAGTGCGTCATGCAAACCTCCAAGGGCTTGAGCCTCACTATGGATAATAATAATAATAATAATAATAATAGTAGTAGTAGTAGTAGTAAGTTATTATTTATACCCCGCCCATCAGGCTGGGTTTCCCCAGCCACTCTGGGAGGCTTCCAACAGAACACTAAAATACAATAACCTATTAAACATTAAAAGCTTCCCTAAACAGGGCTGCCTTCAGATGTTTTCTAAAAGTTTGGTAGTTGTTTTTCTCTTTGACATCTGGTGGGAGGGCGTTCCACAGGGCGGGCGCCACTACCGAGAAGGCCCTCTGTCTGGTTCCCTGCAACCTCACTTCTCGCAATGAGGGAACCGCCAGAAGGCCCTCGACGCTGGACCTCAGTGTCCGGGCAGAATGATGGGGGTGGAGACGCTCCTTCAGGTATACTGGGCCTTTGAGGCCGTTTAGGGCTTTAAAGGTCAGCACCAACACTTTGAATTGCAGGTGATGTGCCAACCTCATTTTGGGCACCCGGCGATCCTGAAGCTCTGGGAGGATCAGGTGAGTTTGCTTTGGGTCTGGCCGTGGCCTGGGTGGGGACGTGGTGTGCTCAGAAATGTACCGGGAGCCAGTGTAGGTCTTTCAAGACCGGTGTTATGTGGTCCTAGCGGCCGCTCCCAGTCACCAGTCTTGATGGATTCTCCTTCTGCCTGGCGTTAGACATGTTTCAGATTGTCGTCTTCCCCAACCAGCCTATTGTTTTCGTATTTTATGTTTCTTGCTGATGGTTTTTGATCTGATTCCATTCTGATGTAAATTCTCCCCCCCCCAAAAAAATTATTCATTTTATAACACAAATAAAGAACACAAACAGAAAAACAAACAATACAAACAAATTCTTGTCATATCCTTATTTTCCTAAACATTGTTAAGTGGGTTTCCCCAAGTCCTACCTATCTGATTTTCATTTTACTTCATCTTTAGCAGTTTACATATATCATAGTTTCTAACCATCTTTTTTTAAATCACATTTAAAATAACTTCACATTTTATCGCTTACAAATAATATTATTTTAAAATACACTGTCTTCTACTTCTAACCCTACAGCCTATATCCACTTCAAAAGCTATTCTAAGATTTAAATATTAACATATTTTTTCAAATATTCCTTAAACTTCTTCCAGTCTTCTTCCACCATCTCTTCTCTCTGGTCTCGGAGTCTCCCAGTCAGTTTGGCAAGTTCCATATAGTCCATCATCTTCATCTGCCGTTCTTCGATAGTTGGTAAATCTTGTTTCTTCCAATTCTTCGCTAGCAATATTTTTGCAGCTCATTCTGATGTAAATTCTGACCCATCACTACATAGGAATGTATTAATATTGAAGAAGAAGAATCATAGAATTGTAGGGACGCCAGGGTCATCCATAACCTCCAATAATTCTCCGATGAAAATAGGGATGTTCCATTCCATAATAATAATTTGACTGCTTATACCCCACATATTTCACGGGGTTGCCCCAGCCACTCTGGGCAGCTTTCAACATATATAAAAATAATAATAAAGCAATAACATTTTTTAAAAAACCTTCCCTTTACAGGATTGCCTTCAGATGGTTCGGGGGTTGGATAGCTCCATACCCTCCAACATTTCCTCAATGAAAATAGGGACATCCTAAGGAAAAGTAAGGGACGCAGGTGACGCTGCGGGTCCTGACCGACTCTGGGGTTGCGGCGCTCATCTCGCTTTACTGGCCGAGGGAGCCGGCGTACAGCTTCCGGGTCATGTGGCCAGCAGGACTAAGCCGCTTCTGGCGAACCAGAGCAGTGCACGTAAACACCGTTCACCTTCCCGCCAGAGCGGTACTTATTTATCTACTTGCACTATGACGTGCTTTCAAACTGCTAGGTTGGCAGGAGCAGGGACCGAGCAACAGGAGCTCACCCCGTCACGGGGATTCGAACCGCCAACCTTCTGATCGGCAAGTCCTAGGCTGTGTGGTTTAACCCACAGCACCACCCGCGTCCCTTTCAGCCTACTTAGCCTACACATAAATCCGGCACTGAGTAGCGTGACTGCCCTGAAACGTTTGCAGGCACGGTTTTGAAAGCGGATACACGTGTCACACACACACACACACACACACACACACACCCATAGCATCAAAAGCCCAAAAGCACATTCATTGTTGCAGAGACACACATTTAAATTTTAGCCTTTGCACAGTAGGCTAGTTTCTGCAAGAGTCCATAGACACATTCCTGCCATGCAGAAACACAGTGCAAAGGACCACTGAGGGGCGTGTCTTGGGGATAAGGGGTGAGGCCTGGGAGAAGGGGTGGGGTCTAGAGAGAGTTCCAAGGGCCACATAGAGAGATCAAGAGGGCCACATTCAGCCCTTGGACATAACCCTGCCCTGATATAGTCCATAATGGCTTCTAATCACGGATAGATTGACCCCCCCCCTCCATGAATTTGAACCTAAAGCCATTTCTACAAGCTCCCTCACTCCCTTTCACGCACACAGACGAATTCAAAAGAATTGACATCTTGCTAGCAACATATAGAAGGCTGATTGCCGAAGAATTGATGCTTTTGAATTCTGGTGCTGGAGGAGACTCTTGAGAGTCCCATGGACTGCAAGAAGATCAAACCTCTCCATTCTGAAGGAAATCAGCCCTGAGTGCTCACTGGAAGGACAGATCCTGAAGCTGAGGCTCCAATGCTTTGGCCACCTCATGAGAAGAGAAGACTCCCTGGAAAAGACCCTGATGTTGGGAAAGATGGAGGGCACAAGGAGAAGGGGATGACAGAGGACGAGATGGTTGGACAGTGTTCTCGAAGCTACCAGCATGAGTTTGACCAAACTGCGGGAGGCAGTGGAAGACAGGAGTGCCTGGCGTGCTCTGGTCCAGGGGGTCACGAAGAGTCAGACACGACTAAACAACTAAACAACAACAACAAGCAACATATAAAGGTCATGATCCAGCCCAAGGAAGAGCAGAAGGTTCAAGTCTGCGGGAAAGGGTTAGGCGTATGCCGTACGATGACCGAAATCAACAAAACTTTTTAAAAGGTTATTGATTTTGGCAAGACGCTTCCTCCTGGCTGAATTAGTTATACCAAATAAGGCTGCCCTAGTTTCTGAGCAGACGTGTTTTTAGTATGTACATTCATCACCAACACACCTGTCATTCAGGTCTGAGGCAGAAACTGGAGAGATTTGCTGGGAGATGGTAGCACTGGACCTTTAAAGCGGGGGGGCACACCCCCTTTTTTCTGCACTCTGCAACGCTACGGCATGTTATCAGAAGTACCTGCCTTTCTGCTTGACTCGCAGATTCGCCCCACCGAGTTAGCATTGCCATAAATAACTAAATCGGCCGATGTTTTAGGAATGCAGCCCCCTCAAAGGCTGGGACCCCTTTGCTTCAAGACAGACAGGAAGGTAGACAGACAGACAAGCCAGCAGACGGACTCCTTGGCCAGAATAGATAACGTCACCCTAGGAGCCAGCAGCACTTAAACCAATCGTATCTGAGGAGTTGAGTCAGTTTTAATCCAGGAACCAATCAGCCAGTTAGAAAGACACACATTTGTGCATAGATAAGAGCATTAAACCTGAAGGGAAGGAGCAACAACAAAACCCAACTCGCACACTTTCTTAGGGACCGTAGTTCAAAAGCAGAGCTTGAGGTCTCCGGTTTTGAAAGATCTTGGGCAGCGGAAGACATTAGAAAATACCTCTGCCTGGTTTTTTTTTTTTGAGAGCTGGGGCCCCTCAGAGTAGACCATGCGAGGTCTTGATAACAACAACAACAATTATTATTATTATTATTATTATTATTATTATTATTTCCCTGCCCATCTGGCTAGGTTTCCCCAGCCACTCTAGGCGGCTTCCAACAAAGATTAAAAATATATTAAAATGTCACACATTAAAAACTTCCCTAAACAGGGCTGCCTTCAGATGTCTTCTAAAAGTCAGATAGTTGTTTATCTCCTTGACATCTGGTGGGAGGGTGTTCCACAGGGCGGGCGCCACCACCGAGAAGGCCCTCTGCCTGGTTCCCTGTAACTTGGCTTCTTGCAGGGAGGGAACCGCCAGAAGGCCCTCGGCGCTGGATTTCAGTGTCTGGGCAGAACAAAGGGGGTGGAGACGCTCCTTCAGGTATACTGGGCCGCTGGGGCTGTTTAGGGCTTTAAAGGTCAGCACCAACACTTTGAATTGTGCTCGGAAACATACTGGGAGCCAATGTAGGTCTTTCAGGACCAGTGTTATATGGTCTCGGTGGCCGCTCCCAGTCACCAGTCTAGCTGCCACATTCTGGATTAGTTGTAGTTTCCAGGTCACCTTCAGAGGTAGAGCACATTGCAGTAGTCCAAGCAGGAGATAACTAGAGCATGCACCACTCTTGCATGCTCAGCTGTGGGGAACCTTTGGACGTTCAGATGTTACTGAACTACAATTTCCATCAGCCCCAGACAGCACGGCCAATGTCCAGGGGTGTTGGGAGTTGTAGTTTATCAACCTTAGGAGGGCCAAAGTTCCCCCACATCGGGCCTAGGTGGACCAGTGTCCAAACTGGTGTACAGCCGCTTTATATGTTGAGGCAGTGGCAGACTTTGGGTTCTCAAATTTCAGCGGCGCCCGTGCGGCGCTAAAATTTGGAGGGGCGCCTCTTGTGTTTCATTCTGCGGCAATGTTTTGGCAGCGCCCAGTGTGACCGCACCAGTCGTGCCACCCTAAAACCGCCTTTGGTTGCTGAGCTTTAGTTCCTGTATACCCATACTCCGGGGATAGCCCAGTTGGTAGGGCCTAAGACCCTTGATCTCTGGGTTGTTGGTTCGAGCCCCACGCTGGGCAAAAGAGCCCAGCATTGTAGGGGGTTGGACTAGATGACCCGAGTGGTCCCTTCCAGCTCTACAGTTCTATGATTCTATAATAATAATAATTAAAAAATGTTATTTATATCCCGCCCTCCCCAGCCAAAGCCGGCTCAGAGCGGCTAACAACAGTAAAATAATACAGCATTCTAAAATCAGATCTCACTTGGATAAAATCCAGTTCTAAGCATCACAATTCAATGGACACAGACAAACTGAGTGTTTTAGATGCAGCAAATGGTCAGGTCTGGCATATTACAAATTCAGAAAGGCTGGGTGAGTTGTGTATGTTTAAACTAATATTTATTAGGAGTTTCAAAGGGAAAGAAGCAATCACATATAAAAAGATGTAACAATAACAAGGAGAAAGTTATTTCTAAAGCTCAAAAAAAGAAGGAACAAGCAGTTAAAAACAATTCCATCTATTCCTCACTTCTTTACATTTACTTGTTTCCTGGACCTCCTCATACCTCGCTCTTTGTATTCCAATTCAATTTGTTAATCCAACAATGTCCTTTCCTCCTTCTTTAATCCTAATCCTTAATCTTGATATATTGTAACATTAGATTTTTACACATTAAAAACCAATTTTTCCATATTCTTTTGTACCTATATAGCTAGAAGCCACTTAACTTCAATCCAACATCATTCTAACATTCATTAATTTTACAATATTTCTGTAAATAGTCTTTAAATTTCTTCCAATCTGGTTTCTCTTCAGATCGTATAAATCTTTCGCCTTTTACAAAAAGTGGGTGAGTTTAAAGGAGCAGGCGTCAGCAGAGTGCTGGACAAAATGTGGCTTTAGAGCAGGAATGGGAAACCCATTACATCATGGTGCTACAACTCCCATTATCCCTGACCACTGGCCATGGTTGCTGGTACTGATGGGAACTGTAGTTCATGAACCCTTGGAGGCTCAGAGGTTCCCCATACAGTGGTACCTCGGGTTAAGTACTTAATTCGTTCCGGAGATCCGTACTTAACCTGAAACTGTTCTTAACCTGAAGCACCACTTTAGCTAATGGGGCCTCCTGCTGCTGCCGCGCCGCCGGAGCCCGATTTCTGTTCTCATCCTGAAGCACTATTTCTGGGTTAGCGGAGTCTGTAACCTGAAGCGTATGTAACCTGAAGCGTATGTAACCCGAGGTACCACTGTACCTGGTTTAGAGACTCCTATTTTCACCTGGGGTCGTCACGTCCTCTGGCAGATGTTATTAGCGAGATAAGTCTCGTTATCTGCTCCTCGGTGATTAAAGACTTGTTATCCATATTAAATGGCTTGTTATCCATATGTTCTGGTGTAATGTGGAAGCACCTTCTAGGGATTAGGGTTATCTATGGATTTGATTATCACGTAGCAATGGGGAAATGGTTCGGGGCGGAATATCCAGAATTTGTGCACCCAATTTTGGGGGACTTGGCAACCAAGGGTTAACTAACATACAACCTAAAGTCACTAAGAAGCCCAAAGGCAACAGACTCACTCTCAACAACTTGGAGTGACTTTATTAATTTCCTTAATTGGGAACAGAGTGAGGACTCAGCCATACAGTAGTACCTTGGGTTAAGTACTTAATTCGTTCCGGAGGTCCGTTCTGAACCTGAAACTGTTCTTAACCTGAGGTACCACCTTAGCTAATAGGACCTCCTGTTGCCGCTGTGCCACCGCCGCACGATTTCTGTTCTTATCCTGAAGCAAAATTCTTAACCCAAGGTAATATTTCTGGGTTAGCGGAGTCTGTAACCTGAAGCGTCTGTAATCTGAGGTACCACTGTATTTCTGTTTGTCCCGCACTTCCTAGGCATGGGTCTGAGAGGTTTTTATTTTACTCCTGCCACTTTCCCCAGGAAAACCTGCCGTTTACCGCTAAATCAGAACAAACATCAGTCCTCAGAAAACCCGATCCAACGTTTGTTATGATTCAGTGGTAAACAGCAGTCTTCTCCCAGGAAGCTTGGGACAAGAAGAATTGTGTACGACCCATGAGTCGCGAGTCCCAGCCAGCTATACACAATTAAGGGGCTCATAAAATGTTCATTCAAAATTGTGACAGTGGCTGGGAGTTGGGGGACGCTACATTTAAGTATAGTCCCCAATGTAACCTAAATGTCAGGTTCAGGTAGGTAGCTGTGTTGGTCTGACACAGTCGTTTCTTATGTAGGTTATGTATAAGGTTTTTTTTTAGAAGAAGAAGAAGAAGTAGAAGAAAGTAGATGAGTTTTAGTTTCTTAAATTTTACCAAACAAAAACGCAATATACACAAAGAGAAAAATGAACGTTAACAACAAAAGAACAGAAATTCAGTACAAGGGAGCTTTTGGTAACAAAGTGAGAAGGAAAACCAAAACTTGGGAGTGAATGAACACAACTGTGAAATTATAAATGGGGTTCAAAAAACACAACTATGTTCGTGCGTACAGCATTGTCTGTTTTTAAAATGAAGATGTAAAATAGGTGAGCTTTGCACACACATGAGAATTTAAAACATGGGTTTGTGAAGCAGGAAGTCACACTTATTCAAAGTCAGTATAATCTACAACTTAATTAGACAACATTACTGTTTTGTGCATTTTTGTGGCAAAGCATCACATAAATGAATGAATGAACAAATTGCAGTCCACCAGAGTGAGAATTTCCCACCATTCCCCCCTTGAATAACATCAGGAGCCACAACCACACAATTCAACAAGCGTTCCCATGAGCTAGATTTCGACAAACCTTCCCTCCCTCTCCTTTTGCCCTCACGGTAACCCAGAGACACAGTTCACACACGCCTCCCACAAAAGTATTTGTGAGGCTTAGGGGCTGGAAAGGTTTCAAGTGACTGGGTGGAAATCCCAGGCACCCACCCACTCCCACCAGGATCCACCAGATCCTGATCCACGCCCCCTGGGCCTTTTGTTGAGCCTCGGAGGCGATGAGTGACACACTCTCCCCCATGGCTGTGGCCTCCTTCATCCGTGTAATTTAATCTGTTTGTTTTGCCACGATGGTGATTCCTTCTTCCTTCCCATCCGTGTGTTACAAGGGCAAACAGAGCCCAAACACGGCAGGTGCGACGCCTTGGCTAGCCGGATATGGCCCTCTTGCTCTGGGCGACCAAGACCCGCAACTGTGGGAAAAGTGGGGACCCGCCCAGCTCATGAATGGAGCGATGACGAATGCGCCTTCCTTGATGCTTGTCTGCAGCTAGTCATTGTTTACATGGGGGTTCATGCCAGGAGTTCGTTTTCTTGGGAGGAAAAACATTATGTCTTCTTATTATTATTACAGTGGTACCTCGGGTTAAGTACTTAATTCTTTCCGGAGGTCTGTTCTTAACCTGAAACTGTTCTTAACCTGAAGCACCACTTTAGCTAATGGGGCCTCCCGCTGCCGCCACGCCGCTGGAGCACGATTTCTGTTCTCATCCTGAAGCAAAGTTCTTAACCTGAAGCACTATTTCTGGGTTAGCGGAGTCTGTAACCTGAAGCGTATGTAACCTGAGGTACCACTGTATTATTATTATAATACGAGGTTTTTTGGATTCCAAGGGCTCCTTTTGCAAAACCTTCAGCCAGAGCTGAAGCTAGTCATCGTATACATGGGGGTTCATGCCAGGAGTCCATTTTCTTGGGAGGAAAAACATGTCTTATTCTTATTCTTATTCTTATTATACGAGGTTTTTTGGATTCCAAGGGCCCCTTTTGCAAAACCTTCAACCAGAGCAAGCGATGACGAATGTGCCTTCCTTGATCCTTGTCTGAGCTAGGCATCGTTTACACGGGGGTTCATGCCAGGAGTCCATTTTCTTGGGAAGAAAAACATTACGTATTATTATTATTATAATACAAGGTTTTTTGGATTCCAAGGGCCCCTTTTGCAAAACCTTCCGCCAGAGCTTTCCAAACTGTACCTCACAACACGTTTGTGTGTCAACTACAGAGAACAGCCTTTGCCAAAGGCGTCATGGACTTTGAAGACACTCGAACTCAGGACACAAGGGAGAAACGTGTTAAGAGGAAGGCACGCTTGGCAAACCCTCACCGTGATCAACTCCCGCCTGGAAACCTACGTCCCCACTGTGGAAGGTCGTGTGGATCCAGAATCGGCCTCCACAGTCACTTAAGGACTCATTGTTAAAACCGTGTTTATGGAAGACAATCTTACTCGGCTACGAGGGATTGCCAAAGAAATAAATAAAAGTAGGTGTGTCACAAAAAAATGCTCCCTGCACTTCTCCCAGGGCGAGAAAAGAGTTAGTTTTACCTTCAGGTTTGCTAGTAAAACTGAATTGCTGTGTCGCGAAATGATGTACGTCTACAAAGTGTGTCATCAAACATGAAAAGATTGGGAAGGCTTAAGCTATGGTCCAAAGAATAACAGAACCATAGAGGTGGAAGGGACCCCTGGGGTCATCCAGACCAACCCCCTGCAATGCAGGAATCTCAGCTAAAGCATCCATGACAGATGGCCACCCAACCTCTGCTTAAAAACCTCCACAGAAGGGACGCGGGTGGTGTTGTGGTCAAAACCACAGAGCCTAGGGCTTGCTGATCAGAAGGTTGGCGGTTCGAATCCCCGCGACGGGGTGAGCTCCCGTTGCTCAGTCCCTGCACCTGCCAACCTAACAGTTCGAAAGCATGTCAAAGTGCAGGTGCCACTACTGAGAAGGCCCTCTGCCTGGTTCCCTGTAACTTGGCTTCTCACAGCAAGGGAACCACCAGAAGGCCCTCGGACTTGGACCTCAGTGTCTGGGTAGAACGATGGGGATGGAGATGCTCCTTCAGGTGTACTGGGCCCTTGAGGCCGTTTAGGGCTTTAAAGGTCAGCACCAACACTTTGAATTCTGCTTAGAAACGTACTGGGAGCCAGTGTAGGTCTTTCAAGACCGGTGTTATGTGGTCTCAGCGGCTGCTCCCAGTCACCAGTCTAGCTGCCGCATTCTGGATTAGTTGTAGTTTCCGGGTCACCTTCAAAGGTAGCCCCACATAGAG